GTCTGTGCTGCTGCAAATAATAAATTTCAGTAAGACCTAATCATTATAAAATAATGATCTTTGTGGACAGTAGTCCTAAATACAAATTAATTAATAACCTATGCCTAATCTTAATCTGGAAGGTCAATTTCTTTTAGCAAACTGCACCAAAATATTTAGTTTTTTCAACTGACTAAAGAAGATAACCAAGTCCCAGAAGAAAAAATTAAAGTGCCTTAAAAAGTTCCTCAATCAGCATTAAAAAACCAAGTGAATTAGATTGATTCCTCTTGCTTCACTAGTGTCGTGGAAAAGAATTCCAATAAAGAGGACATTATAAATTGATAAATTTGAATTGTCAACAGGATGCTCTAGTAACTTTATTTTTAAAAAGTAAATTTAATTTTAAACCTATTATAGATTTTCTATCATCACCAATCAATACTTACCTTAACAAGATTCAATTTTATACATAATTAGGAAAAAAGGTGCCTAAGGAAAGGAACTTATACATAAATAAATGGGTCTCATCACAAACCATATATAAGTATATTACAAATAATATATTAATGATAAATATGATAATTATATATATGGTATATACACATTACAATAGGGGCTATTTCTAATATATATTTACTTATTATAGGGTCTTTTTTTTGCATACGAATTTCCTGAAAATACACTTAAAAGATGAGGGAATATATAAAATATTTTTCTTTTTTTTTTTCTTTTTGATTTAATTTTAAATATTTTCAAAAGGAAGACAGTGAGTGGTCGAGATACACCAATAAATATCCAAGGTGTGACAAATGATTGACTAGTAGATATAATAATGAGTATTAAATATAATCTTGATTATCACAATATCAATACAGGTACTTTATTATTGTTTAAAAATGTACCTATACAATAAGAAAAAGATTTTTAATAACAATCTAGACTAACAACTAATTTTAAAGCAAAACGTTCAGTAAAAAAATAAATAAATAAAATTATAAGAAAAAAATGTCTGCGATGGGAACTATATAAACGTTGTAGGCCTTAAATTCATACGACGATATTAGGATAATATTTGGTAGAGGAATTTGGTTTAGGTTCGCCACACAACATCAATAGCAAATAATCTATAATATTCTATGCCACATATCTACTTACCTCATTTCTACTTGCCAGCTCAAAATGTACATTGTTTGATGTTCAACACTACAGTTCGATTAAATCAATTCCGAAATCTACAAATGTTAAAAAAAAAAATCAAACCATTCATAAATCGTAAGCTTTGTAATCTACACCTCAATGTGAATATAAATCAGCAATAAGGTGCTAAAAAAAAATAAAAAACAAGTAACTTATTTTCTTTTAAATTTCTATCTCATTTTTTCATTTTGCAAAAAGTTTTTCAAAAAATACACAGATACTGGCTACGCACAAAAATCTAGCTCGAAGAATATATAATTTATCTCAAGGATAAAATACAAAAGATCGGTTTTAAAAAACAACATACGCTGCATCATAGAAAATAAATGCAGTTGTCTCCCATATAAAGGCACTGTTTGAATATTTAAAAAATTGCATTTGTTTTTACGTGTGTTGGTTTGAAAACCAGCTCTCACATATGGTATATTATATAAAACTAACTAACACAATAAAATTAACTATTTAAAATTATTTGATAAATAAATGAATAATTTATCTAATAGAACTATTTACAAGTAGATAAATTACATTATTCGATGTCATAATATATTCTAAGAAGATCTTAATAATCGGCACTTGAAAATTTGTAACATTTAAACTACAATACAGCTATAAATTCACAAGTTTAAACTTCGAGTAATTCTTAAGATAATACTTTTCAAGTCTTTAAGATTTATATTTCAAGGAATGTTGAATGAAGTGCTATAAACATATTTATAAGCAAATAAGGTAAATATATATATATCATCAGCAAATAATCGTTTTTAAAGATACAATAAAAAAGGAAGACTAAAGATGGAATGGTTAATTCTGATTAGCTTTAAAAAATATTTAAAAAAAAAAATAAAAAAATAAAATAGTCATCTATTTACAATGTTAATCACTGGAAAAGGCCTAGGATTAATAAAGCAAAAATTTGTTTAATTCTTTCTAAAGTCTAGCAATTATTACGGATTTTGTTATGAAGTCGGTCATGCCACATCAACAACTAAACTTCTAAACAAGTCGATATGTTAAGTTTTATGTTTTTTTTTTTTTTTTTTGGGGTACCTTTTTATCTCTCTTCTACAATCTATTTTATAACAATTCACACATACTAATGGTTAGAACTGAAGGCTCATGCGTAATACTAAATTGTAGTTTATTAGTTGTTGAAATATTAAATTAAAATTCGAATTATTCGACCATATGTCTAATAATAAAGAGATTAATTTGTTATTAGATTTTTCCAACAAAAAAAGTATATTAAAGATACAACTCTAGCTTTATCATGCAATTCAGTTAGTTCTGAAGGCTTCTTTTCTTCTTATGTCATGCAGTCGAGAGGGTGTCCAATATGAAGATTGAGAAGATGAACCTTTAATTCTTATATATATATATAATTTTAATTTTTCAATTATTGATATTCAAGTAACTTGACAGGTGGGAAGGAAAGCTTGTTGATGTTTGTTTGGCATTTAAAAAGCACAGCGCTGGGCAATGGGGTCTATGCAGTCGTCATCGACCCCGCTGCCTTAGTGCCAACAACAAACAGTTCCGTGCAGTGTTATATCACAGGAAAGCAAGTGATCATTATTAATATATATTATCCACCATTAATATTTTGAGATCAAATAAAAAAAATAATTAAAAAACGGAGTTGTCTAAAAAACGGAAGCTGAAAAAACAGTCAGTCAAGGCCAAGCATAAATACCAAGTTAATTCATATTAAAAAAAATAAAATAAAATTGTAGAAGGAATTATAATGTTGTTATTATGTAATAATAAAAATTTTCAATGTCAAGCAGAGCACTTACTACTTTCTGAAAACTACTTTATTCAATAAACTGAGCTACAAGTGCATGGGGTAACCCATTCTACACACTACACACTGAAACTACAAAAACATCTAACACTAAATAAACTTTGTCAAAGTGATACTTAAATGCTACGACTCCACCAAAAAAACAGCAACTAGTCGACAAATATAAGAGGAGACAAGGTTAATATATAGTTTTATACATGACACAGTTGCGAGACCAAACCCTCTTCCACCACAATTAACTAAAAAATCAATATCAGGAAAATACAATCTTTTCTTATAACTCTCTCAAATGTCATCCTATTTTTTAAATTATTTTTCTGCTAAGAATACAAAAATAGAGGGTTATTTACGTGATACCTCAACGGGTCTCCTAAAACTGTTATTGCTCTCTCATAAGAATATTGTCTCGAACGGCGAAAGGAAAACTGATTTTATAATCAAAAAGATATACTCTGTCAATAAAAATTGTCTATTTGGCACTCATTGTCAACTATGAGGTAACTCAAATCGATTTCTAAAAAGTTTATTATTTGAGGAACACGAATGCTGTACAATATTTTACAATTTATAATCCTTTTTCCTTTCGCTCAATCATATAGTTATCAAGGCCCAAAATAGTAAAAGCCTGAAATGCACAATTTGGGCAATAAGTACTACAAACTATTTATACATAACACACTGTTAACATCCAATCTTTTTTTTTTTTATCTTTTTTCTTTTTTTTTTTTTAAATACATAATTTGTGATCTATTAACCACCATTAGATATTTATAAATATATATATATTTATATATACCGTATAAGTATTTACTTATATATAAATATAGACTTCAAGACAACCTGTACAATGAGACAGGGCTTAGCAAAATAATGAAGCCAATTTAAAAACTACAATAAAAAATACTATACTAATAATAAAAATATTAAAACTTTGCAATGACAAATGTTTGCAATTTGTGAGTATTTAAGACCAAATGACTGTAAAAAGGAATGCCCTGTTGTGAAAGTTTTTTCATTAAGGTGCATTACTGCATACTGGTTAAAAAAGAACTAATTTTCTTTTATTATTTTTTTATCTACATATAAAAATAAGTAGAATGGGACGAGGTGGTGACAATTTACGACTCTGTTGTTAATTTAAACTAATGTTAATCTTTGTATAGACTACTTTAGGTGTTAGGGTGAGTCGGATTGCAACCACCTGGCCACAAACCAAAATATTTTGGTCCTCAAAATCACATGCATGAAACTTCGATGTTTCTATTTCTTTTTTTTTACTTTTTTACAAAACATGATTATTGGAGAAAAGCTACAAATCTATGGAATGTTTTAATTTCGAAATAAGTACAATCTAATAAAATAACAAAGCGCAAAACAAAAAAAGAAAAAATGCAAATAGAGAAGGAACAAAATGTATAATATTAATAATAATAATAATAGTAATAATTTAGTACAAATGGTTAAAACGAAATACTCAGTCGTGATGTGGATAATAAATAGTATATCACTACAAAGTGTGGATAAAGAAAATAAACAAGTGACTAGATAGTAGAGAGACTGATTGGCCACAAAAGTAACATCATTTTTAAAGCATAACAAAACCACATAGTGGACAACTGCTAACTATTGCAAAATGCAAATATTGAGGCGTGAAAGCCCAATGTAAGAGATGTAAATACATTTACGGTCTCAACTGTTCAGATCTAAGTCTAAAGTACAAATACCCACACTTGAGATCAACTTATATATACACATACTCACAACACGATAAACAAAGTCTCTAAGAGGTTTTTTTTTTTTTTTTTTGAGACATGTATGGCACGCCCCTTTCTATCTGGGGATATCGAAACAATCGCCCAAAATACGGCATTATCAACAAACACTATAATATAACAACAATTTTACAGTATATCGCCTTTGTTAAGACGAAAAAGTCGAGAATCACAATCGTCAAAATTTACAAAAATCTCGATATCTTTATCATTTATATATCACTATAACCTATTTTTATCTGCATTATTTTATATATATATATATATGTATAAGATATATAATATCAAACCAGTTTCAATGGAAGATTCAAAGATGGGCATGACGCTAATACTGTCGCTTATTGCAAATTATTGCTAGTGAAGGGCCCAAAAGGTGTGAGCAAAAAAGCTGTCAATAGATAAGGGTAGATCGATAGTAAAATGATAACGATGGGATTTTATACATTTACCCGAGTTAGACGTACATGCCCATACCGTACATTGAACCCCAATCGACACCCTGGAAACTAGACATATCCACATTGGGAAGGGTGTAACCCTGATACGGCGAGGCCGGAGTGAGGGTAGGAGGAGCAGGGGCTGCAGGTGTAGGCGTAGCAGGTGCTGCGACAGGGTAAGGAGCATAGCGGTAAGAAGCGAGACCAGGGTAGCCACCAAAGAGCTTACTATAGCCCGCTACAGCCTGCTGGGCAGCAACTGCTGCTGCCGTCACACTCACCAATGGCCCAGTGGGCACTGGTGCTGGTGCTGCCATCCGTACTCCCAAGGGTCCCATCATCACCCGCTTACCGAGCAAAAGACCCGCTGCTGCAACAGCCTCTTTTGGCTGTGCCTTCTTACATTCTACCTTCTTATTCTTAATTAGATGAAAATGAATTTCACAAATCCTATCAACAACATCCTCACTCTCAAATGTCACAAATCCAAATCCCCTGTGCCTCTTTGTTTGTTGATCCATCAACATTACAGTCTCTTCCACTTTACCAAACTGAGAGAAGTAAGCTTTTACTTCATCTGATGATGTGTCTTGACTTACACCGCCAACAAATATTTTTTTAGTCTTGTTGGTGGCTTTTGGTCTATTTTTCGGTGTTGCATGTTTAGGATCAATTTTCTTTCCATCGAGAGTGTGAATCGGAACCTTGAGGACTTTCTCAACCGTGTCTGCTTCAGCGAATGTGATGAATCCAAATCCTCTGCTTCTCTGTAATACAAAGGTACAACAATTAAAATTTGAGCCTGGTAACAGATATTAAAATTATATTCATTATGAATATATATTCGTTGTCTTTATATCAAGATAGTTATAAGACTATATAGTACTTATATGGTCTACACATAGAGATGCTAAAGTAATTTGTAATAGGATAGGTTAAGTGATTTTTTCCTAGTTTGGAGCGAAGAAGAAGCTAATCAAGTCAAATTTTATGAAGGAGCATGGCAACAACTGTTTTTAAAATACTTTATGACTGTGATTAGTTAAATGGAACTTAAGCAAACTGGCTATTGATTTATAAAATCGTTTATCACAAAAAGGTTGATCATTAATACACAATAACCTTTAATTGATAATAAAGTTGTTATATTTCTTTATAATATGATATTTTAATGGATGAGGAGATGTGGGAGGGATTCTTACTTGAGTGATGGGATCTTTCATGATGAGGACATCAGTGACTGTGCCGAACATGCCGAAGTACTGCCTCAGTTTCTCACTGCTGGTCTGCCAGCTGAGACCGCCGACGAAGAGCTTTGCGGCGGAGGGGTCGCTCGAGTTAGGGGTAGACCTGCCGGAAGAGGAGGCGGCGGGAGGCTGGGAACCGCCGGCGGGAGATTGCTCCTGCTGAGCGGCGGGCGGGGGCGGAGCGGGCGCGGATCCTCCACCGTTGCCCTGCTTCAGCTGCTCAGACTGCTTGAGGAGCGGCAGCTGACCGCCGTTCATGTGGAGCAGGCCAAGCCCGTTGACGGGAACCAACCCGTTCATGTTGAACAGCTCCTGCTCCCCGATGGGGGCCATCGCTTCCATGCCCAAGCTGAAACAAAAATAAAACAATTAATTTCATAAAATAATAAAATCTTATCATGCCTTAACACTAATTTTTTTTCTTCAATTACAGCTCATCCCTATAGTCGCAATCATAATTGGGGACTTGATATTTGCTACTTCCATGACGGTTTGGATGTACAACACCAGGGACATTGTGTAAGTATATATATTTTTCAAATGTATATGACGAATTTCGTACCTGATACTCGAAGAGAAGTGGACTATCCTTTCGCCAAGTGAGGAATAAAAAGCAATGCTTTATTGTATTGAATAATAAACGGATGAAAGACACTTGAAATGATATTCACTTCCAAGCCTGATATTGACAATTTCATTTCGAGTAGATTCTTTGCACACTGGCGAGTGACAAGGGCTGTCTACTTTTTTTCGACGTTTATTTCCACTTTGAAACGATTAGTATTCTAAAGAATATACTTTTATTATTAAAACATTAGTTGACACAGCTCTTCTGTACTATCGGGTATAGCGAATTTTTCGATTTTATTTTGTTTCGACCGCAAAAAAGAATTGGTTCGAAGATTCCACCAGAACGGCAATAACATCGATCTCTCAGTCGACCGATAAAGATTCGAGTTTATTGGATCAATGTTCCAACTTGGACATCATGTAGCGTACCGTCTTAAGATCTAGCCTGTGGTCGGTTTCGGAAGTAGTGAATCATTCCTTTTCCAATTAAGGGACAAGACCGCGCAAGTGCTCACGAGCCTTCGGAAAACGTGCGGACCGGAAGGGAGATGCGCGACTCGATCTTGGACTAATGGTTAAAAGAAGAGGCTATCGATGACGACTATATTATCGATTGTAATTAATAACAAGTGAATAGTGTAGTAGAGTGAAGAGAGAGACATAACAGTACAGAGGGGCTGGATCATTGATCAGAGAGGCGCGCATGGCAGGGGAGCGCATGCCCGACCTGCGCCGCCGCCGTTCCTCCCACCCTAACCCTTCTTCCTGTTTCAGCATCGACCGGAGCAAGAAGCCCATCAACGAGCAGATGGACCTCCTCAGGCCGTACTTCCTCAAGGTGAGCCCCGCTGCCTCGGTGATATTGTCCTGTCACAGCAGTAGTGATCCTTCTTACCGCTGTCACGGGACATAACCACCGAGTCGCGGTACAACGCCGTCGCTACAGCTACATATTCTCTACAGTGTCTGTGTCCCAGTGATCAGTCTGTGCCACAGTGTTAAGTGATATCTGTACAGTGTTATACGCCAGTTATTTTGTGAAAATATCTTACTCATAAGTCAAAAATGTTGCTACTGTACTGTAAGTCGCCTAAACTGTATCTACTATAGCAGTAGAGTAAATAGAAAGATTGTAGTCATGTAAAATTTCCTTTTGTTTTGTTTTTTCATTTTTATTTTGTTCTTTATTCAAAATGTCAATAGCACTTGTGAATGTACTGTTCAAATTTATCTTCTTTATTAGAAACTGTTTTTGAAAAAGCTTGGAAACCATTTGCATTTGGCTCTTAGTTTTATGTCTGTAAATGTTCTATTATACGATTAGGGTAGCGCACACTAACACACATTATATCTAGTAACAATATATTATGGTTTTAGTTTGCTTTATGTGCTGAACTGATTTGAAAACATCCCCATACCAAGCTTCCTTATCCTCGTATCCTAGGAGGTAAGGTTATGCAGTTGAGTTTTGCGATAGAGGCTTGGGTTTGGTTATCAGAAAAAAGAGATATAAAACAATTTGGAGGTGGTTTGGCCAGCTGAAGGGAATCAATAGAAGAGGAGTGGAAGGGATGGAGGGTAGGCGTTGTCGGCCGTGTGTGAGAGGGAGGCTTCAGATCAATACCGACGGTGACGCACTCTCCTCCAACTCCTCCCAGCTCCCGATACTCCCTTCTTCGCCGAACTCGATGTCTCTTCTCCGTAAGTTAACAATATCCTAACCTCCCGCCAGAACCGAACGCGGGATTTAATTTGGGAATCCAGCATCGGGGGTCTGGTGACAGAGATGCCTCGTAGCAACAAGGTCCTAATTCGGTAAATTTCGATAGGTCCCTGATCAAAACAGCTTTTCTTGAAGCAGAAGTAGTGAACTTTATTCATTGGAAAATAGTATTTGATTCTTTTTAAAAGTTAAATAATGGCTATACAGGAACAATAATGGTTTTGTGGAGAAAATGTTGACAGTTCTTTTAACCTATTATACAGGTAGGTGTAACTCCCACGATTATATTTCTTTATTCTTGGTACAATTAAAAATTCAAACATTAGACTAGCCATTATGAAGAAAATGTTAAACAATGTTACAGTAATAGAACCCATTTAAAATGAAATGATGTGTTTTAAACAAAGAAACACAAAAGAACCAATGTTAAAAAGATTTTTTAGGAGTGTAGGGGAGGAAGAGGGAGGCTTCAGTCCGGAAGATTGCTTTGAATCCATCAGTGCCTCACCAATTACAGATGGCGACGGAGAACTTACTTAACAGCCGATTAAACGTTAGATAGAACATGACTTTTAGTGTCAAACTTTTGGGAAGTAATAAAATGACAGATCGATAAAAGAGAGTATTTCCAGTTGTTTCATATACAATTTTTATAATCTGGATTTCTATAGGTTATAAACATTTTTGGTTTCGGATAAAAATAAATTATTCCAGCGAGAGCATCCTGAAATCCTTGAACCACTACTAATAGAGCTGGTTCGCGAACTGCGAAAGGTCTTTCGTGATAAATGGTGCAGACAGCACTATCCTAGCCCTCAATTATCATATAAACACACTTCTGCAAACCACTTTCAGAAATCAATGCATATTAGTTTTTTCTACCATATGAACTTGTTAACTATATTTCACAATTAAAGTAATAATTGCAACTGGAGGCAGTAAAAGTCTAATAATATATATTGTTTTAAAAATGGAAAGAAAAAAATACTGAGCCGTTTAAAATAAAATCAACTCAATAAGGAGCCGCCCATCTCATTCTCATTTACAACATGCGCGCTTTACAGACTCGCGAAGAACAGTTATGGCATCGATTTTTAAAAATTGAATTATTTTATAATTCATTCCTAAAAAACTTACCACCACGAAGTTCCGTTGTTTGTAATCACCCAGAACATTTTAAAGAAGTATTGCGTAGAACATTTAAATAATTACAGAAAATACAAGTTTATGTGAAATATACAAAATTAAACTAGGAAAGATATTCTACAATACGTATATTATCTAGTAGTTTACTATTTATAACCTTCACTGGGCGGGAATAAAACCTATCCCCACAGACAGACCACGTGATACCGTTGCCATGGAAACGCCGACTTCACGCTCCTGCCGTATACACATTTCAGGGTAGCTTGTTAAATTATATAGGCTATTCAAAAATAAATTTGAAGCAAAACGTTAAGACCACATCGGCATTTGAATTTTTGTGGGATGCAAAGAGAATGATAAAAATAACTAACCAAAAGGTTTTTTTTTTAATTTAATAGATTTTTTATAAATCGCAGTATTTTTTTTGCCAAGACAATAACTCGATAGTAATTGAAAAATAGGCATTTTAAAAAAGTTCTTTTCAGTTAAACCTTAAATCAAACGTGTAATTAATGTTGCCGTTAATAAAAACGTTAACTCCAAAGAAGTATTTCAGTAACAGAAAATATTATTGTACAGATTCATGAAATTTTTAACTAACTTATTGTAGCTAAAACCTTCCAGGGCGAGTTGAGTAGTAGTGAAATTTGATGTTACAATATTTACCAGGAAAAAATAAAATGAATTATATAAAAGAATTGAACGCATTATAAAATAAAAATAACTATTCCTTTTCAGCATAGCTTTGATAACAGATGTTGGGCAATGAATTCCGGACTATTTTTTTTTAATATTTTGATTCCTTATACTTGAGTTCAGATAAAAACGATACGAGATGCAAGAGTAAAAATATAAAAGAAAATCTCATTTAGCTGATACCTTTATTATAGATATGGTAGTATAAATGTGATGATTTTCAAAATTTTAAGCAATGAAATACGACATATTAAATGGAGAACTCTATATCAAATTGCATTTACCAATTGAATCGTAAATTATTTTCAACTAGAAACCTAAGCCTGAAATAATTGTATCACCGCTTCTTCGCTTGAGTAACAACGTTGAAGTTAATTGTTTACAACGAAATGTTCGTTAATGTTTTTTATAGAATCAAAATGAAGTTAGAAAATTGATTCTCAAATGAAACTTCTCAACCGTAGGAGAATTTAAGAGACGCGTTTATTTTGTCCACTTAAAATTAAAATTCTACTTTGCTACGTTTGAGAAAATCCGGTTAATAAAAGATACCGATTTTTATAATTTGTTTTTATGTCGAATTCTTATGGTTGTAGAGATGAATAGTTTGTTCATTTGGGTATATGAATTTTTAAAAAATCTTCTAGAATTCCACTTTTCTTTTACTAATATTTTTTTGGACAATATTAGATTCGAATTATAAGCAGCAGTGATCTGTACTTTTGTAACTAATAAATAATATTGTTTTAAACCCCGAACATATTTTAAATATATACAGATAATACGATACTTCCTATGCCAGGGCCAAAATTTAAAAATAAAGTACATTAATTACTGTATTAATTGATACAGTAAATAAATAAAAAATAAAATAAATAAAACAAACAAAATCCTATCTTTCTGGCTCATTATTATAATATTTAATTAGACCAACTAATACATGAATAATTATGTAATAATTTATTTCTGATATGTAACAATCTTATGACTAATAAAATAGAATTAGGGAGAAAAAAATTTCATCTATAAAAAACAAATAACTTAAGACAAAATAAACAGAATAATAGGATATACAATTTAATTTTTTTTTATTCCTGGATCTTCACGACAGAATATATGAGTGGCTCCTGAGTAAAAATAATTTTACATTGAAAATGATCTTTTGCTGGAAAAAAGGTAGAGATTATGAAGTTAACTTAGTTTAATATTCAATG